GGGGGGGGGGGCCATCTGTCCGGGAGGCTCCTTTCCGCCCCGGCCCGGCCCCCGCGTCCCTCCAGCGGGCCGGGATTCCCTAAAAAGGCGCCTGTCTGGCTCGAATGATGCCGGATGCGGGCGAGCTGCTGGGCCTGCGGAGAGAGAGAGAGAGAGAGAGAGCCCCTCCCGGCTCCAGACCCCCCTTGCCACCAACCCGACAATGACAACCGCATCACCCCCCCCTCCCCCTGTCCCTGCCCGGCTGCCGCGCTCGGCTGCCTCTCGATGCCGAACGCGACGTCCCTCTCGAGAGGAGGTCGAGCCCTCTCCCGCCCCCATCAACCCAGGGGCTGCGGTCACCGCCGCGCTCGCCGCGGGCGGCCCATGCAGCGTCGGCGGTCCCTACCGGGGGGGGGGGGGGGGCGTCTAGGCGGGCGAGTGCGCCCCGGCGCCGGCCTCCTCTGGAGATGCGGGGGAGGCCGACCCCAAGCCCGGCCCGCGCAGCGGCGCACGCCTGGCCCTGGGCCCACGGGAGGGGTATAACACACCTCCGGCGAGAGTAACGGCGCGGCCGGCGAAACAACAGATGCCAATGCATGGACGCGCTCCCTGACCCGGTGGCCACGGTGGCCCCCTTTTCCGGGCGATCGCGCATCTCCCCCCCCCCCCCCGTCCTAGCCCCCTGAAGAAGCAGTCAGGCCCAGCCGGCTGCCGGGTGAAGCAGACCCACCGCCAAGGGGCACCAGCCATCACTCAGCCAGCTCGGCCCGGCTGCACCACCGCGCGGGCCGGGCCAAGCCCAGGGCAGTGACCGGCAAGACGCCCGTCATTGTCGTGTGGCCAGCCGCCCGCCGGGCCGCTCTGGCCCTCTCCAGCCGCAGGATCCTGCAAACAATGGACAATGGTGTCATCCACACCAGGGGGGGGGTGGAGGTGGCCCGGCGCTAATGCACCGTGTGTGGTCCTGGGGCACCAGCCGAGAGCGGGGGATGCCCAGCCTCCCGGGGCCCGAGGCGAGGACGCCAGGAATGGGCCGTTTCCCGCCGGTTGCTTGGGCACGAGAGCAGACCCGCGAGCCGGCCGGGAAGGAGGGCTTCCGGCAGGCCCTGCGCTGGGGCGATGCCCTTTTTGATGCGCGCCCAAGTGGGCCCCTTTACCCCACCGTCAACAGGTATCCCCTCTGTTCGTCCGCCGTCGGACGTCGCGCCACAGCGCAACACTGTCTTTCCCAAGAGGGCGCCGGTCACTTCGGCTCGTCTTCCCGGCCGCCGGGAACATGCAAAATCACTGGCTCCAGACGAGGCCATCTCGGCGACGTGGCGGCGTGGCGAAGAGGCGTGCCTCGGTGCAGGGGCGGGGGATGTATGTGGGGACCTTTGCCATGTACACCGCCCCCCGCCCCCCTTCGCCCTCCCAGCCCGATGCGCGACCCAAGTGCGCCCGGGACGTGCAACCAGGCCGGATGCCCGTTCTCCAGCACCAGCCCATCTGCATGGTGCGCCGCACGAACATGGGCCTGGACAGCCGGTGGCCTGGGTCGTGTGCGGTGCAATGTGGGCAGGGAGGAGGCTACACTTATGGCGGCGGGAGGGGGCCCATGCATGCGCGTCAGGCATCCCTCCCCTGGGGAGATTCCTGGACGCTTGAGCGGCGATAACAGTTCAATGACGGCCTGACACCAGCCATCCATCGAGGGCGAAGACCCCGGCGGGTGATCTCGCTCCCGAGAGATCGACGCGGCCAGTTGTAAAGGGCGATAGGCTGGCCAATCCGCTCCCCCCCCCCCGCTGGTCGCCCGTCCCGCCGGGTGGAGGGAGTGCGAAGCGGGCATGACGAATATACCCCGGCAGACCCCCCCCCCCCCCCTCCGCGGATCTGCCCAGAGGCCCCCGTTGTAGCACCGCAACCCTGCAATTCCGAGCGGCAACCCATATACCTTCGGGAGAAAGGCGAGGTCCAACCGGGGACTTGGGCCCCTCCTCCCCCTCGCCCCGAAGAGAACCAAGGATATGAGTGGCTTTGTTCGCCAGGGCGGGAGGTGACAAGGCAAGATCGACACGCGGCCGGAGCCAGGCGCCGAGGAACGGACGGGCGAGACGGGGGAGCCAGTCTGGTGCCCTGGTGATTTTATATCTCGTGACTTGGGTGTATGTGGACACATCGGTGTGACCATGTCACGTTTGTGTTGGCGCCGCTGGTGGCCGCAGAGTCCCAACGATGTCCGGTAGACGGGCAGATTTCCCCGCGGCATGTGCGCCCGGCCCGGGGATGGTGGCAACTTACAAGGCCACAGGGGGGGGGGGGGGTGTTGTCGTGCTCTGTCCATGGTCGCCGGAGGGGAAAGAGGGCCCCGGGAGAATGCCAGGCGCGTGGTCCGCTTCCGGACAAATCGGGCTGGAAGAGGGTGGCGCCAGACCCGGGGAGCCATCCTGCCCCGGACGGGCTTCCTGGGGGGGGGGGGGGGAGGGCTCGCCAACGGAACACTCCGCCGACCGCGGTCAACGCTGCCCGACCGCCGGGGCGGCGAAAGCCCCCCAGCCATGCGCGGCCACGTTCCCCGGTGCCCTCGGCCCTTTCTCGCCTCTCTCCCGCCGCCCTTGCCGGCTCCTCGGCCGTGACGCCCTGACGCGAATGGTGATGGGAGACCGGCCCGGTGACCGCGCCGGAGGGGTGTCCTCTTCCCCCTGCGCAAGGAGGACAGTCAGCGAACGGGGGCGGGCCGGGGGCCTGGGGGGGGGGGGGCTATTCCGGTCAAG